TTTGAGCCATGCTGGGACACGTTACAGATTGAACACAGTTGATAAAGCTAGAGATTTCTATACTTCGGTCCTGAGTGCAGGCTCAACTTCATCTGGTCGGAAATCTTTGAGTGCTAAGGAACCTGAGCAGCAATCTGAGGCACTAGATTTGGTTTCCGCAGGGATGATAGAAGTGGCAAAGCAACGCCAAACGGAGGCTAAAGAGCAGAGGATGACTCGTGCAGCTTATAAGCGTAAAGAGAAAGAGCAACGTAAAAAAGAGCCCAAAGAGAATTCTCCTGGAAGTGCATCACCGCCGGTGGGAGGAGCAAGACCCAAGAGTTATGCAACACACGCAGCTCTGTCAGAGTTTGATGGTGTCTTCTCCAGGCTGCGTGCCAAGGGAGATGGCAAAGTTTTTGACCTGGAATGTTAATGGATTGAATTCTCCTCAGAAACGGAAAAAAATCTTTTATTATTTGAAACAACATACTAATGATGTTATTTGTTTACAGGAAACTCATATTCTACTTAAAGATCAGAAATATTTAGTTAATGCTCGTTTGGGATCTCATTTTATATCTCCTGCACCTGGGAAGAAAGGGGGAGTTGTTATATATGTCAAACAAAACCTGCCAGCTTGTCTGGTAGAATCAGATCCCCAGGGGAGATATGTGATGATTGAACTTGGTATTTATGGTAAGAAAGTACTTATAGTTGGACTTTATGCTCCAAATCAACAACAGGAACAATTTTATAAACAGTTACACCAAAAAATAACTTTGCTTGATTATAGATCAGTGGTATTAATGGGTGATTGGAATGGTGTCTTAGATACACAAAGGGATAAGAAAGGTTCCTCTCCTTTTCTTAAACAAGCAAGGCTACCTAAAGCCTTTTTTGATATGAAAGAAGACTGGGAATTAAGGGACTATTGGCGGGAACGTAATCAAGAGGAGAGAGACTTTACTTTTTTTACTGACAGACACCAATCTTTTTCAAGAATTGACTTTTTCTTGATTACCACGGATTTGTATAATAAAGTAAAGAATGTAAAGATTTTTCCTAGATCACTGACGGATCATAGTCCAGTTTGGATGGAGTTGATTCAAGAGAAAGAGGAAAGAAGATCCTGGAGAGTTAATGAAAATTTGTTTAGACAAGAGAAGAATGTTCAAAAACTAAAGGAGTGTTTAAAGGACTATTTTGCTTTGAATATGTACAAGGGGACTTCAATGTCAATGGTATGGGATGCAGGTAAAGCATTTATGCGCGGTGTTTTGATAAAAATGAATAATTTTTATAAGCGAAATCAGATTCAGAAACGTAGAGAACTTGAAGATGAAATTAAATTAAAAGAAAGGGCTTTGATTCTAAATCCTTCTGATGAAAGTACTAAAGAATCTGTAAAGTTATTAAGGTCACAATTTAATATGTTGATAGCAGATCAAGCTGCAACCAATTTATTATTTATGAAACAAAATACATTTTGTAATGCTAATAAGCCGGGGAGATGGTTGGCTTATCAATTAAGAAAGAAACAGAGACTGAGAATAATAGAGAAAATAAATTATAAGGGTAAACTAGTTTCTCAGAAGGAATTAATTAAAAAATCTTTTTTGGATTATTATCAAAACCTATACAAATCTACTAATGTACAACTGTTAGATATAAATAAATATTTAGCTGAGGCAAGTTTTCCTAAACTGACTGAGGATCAGAAATATGAAATTAATGGTTTAATTACTAAGGAGGAAATCGCCTCAGCAATTCAACAATTGAAATTAGGGAAAGCACCGGGTACGGATGGGTTAACAGCTGTTTATTATAAAGCCTTAATGGAGGAGATGATTCAACCATTAAATGATCTTTTTAATGGTATCTTACAGGGTTTAGAGATTCCTCCTTCATGGCGTAGTGCTTTTATATCATTGATTCCAAAGGAGGATCAAGATCTTACTTTACCAAAAAATTATAGGCCTATATCTCTTTTAAACGTGGATTATAAGATATTTGTAAAAATTTTGGTAAATAGGCTTATGAGGGTGGTGCATCATCTTGTGCATAAAGATCAATCAGGGTTTATAACAGGAAGGTATATGAAAAACAATGTTAGACAAATTATTAATTTATTAGAATACTTAGATAAGAACAACCAAGTTCCTGCAGGGCTCATATTTTTAGATGCTGAAAAAGCATTTGACCAACTGAATTGGCATTTTATGCTAAGAGTAATGGAAGAAATGAATTTTGGTGAAAACATATTACAAGCCCTTAAGGTAATATATCTAAAACAAACAGCACAACTTATTGTTAATGGAGGTTTGTCGGAGGTTTTCACAATAGAGAAAGGTACTAGACAGGGGTGTCCTTTATCGCCATTGTTGTTTGTTTTAACATTGGAAATATTATTGATTAAAATTCGAGAGTCTCAGGAAATTAAAGGAATATATGTTAATAAAAAAGAATATAAGTTGAGAGCTTTTGCGGATGACTTGGTTGTTACTTTGTCGCAACCTGATTATTCTGTAGTAAACTTATTACAGTTGATTCACCATTATGGTTTGGTCTCGGGTTTTAAGATTAATGTAAATAAGACTAAAATTTTACCTAAAAATTTGTCGAGTCAGGAGAAGCAGATTTTGGTTAACTCGACGGGTTTTGAGATTGTTAATAAGGTAAAATATTTGGGGGTGATGCTGTCTGTTTCTAATGCAAAACTATTTAAAAATAATTATGAAAGGTTGTGGGTCGGGGTACAGAAAGACTTGAAGAATTGGGAAAAGCTGCAATTATCCCTCATGGGAAGAATTGCAGTGATAAAAATGAATATTTTACCCAAGTTTCTTTTTTTGTTTCAAATGTTACCAATTTTGAAAAATGAGATTAATTTAAATGAGTGGCAGAAGGGTCTCAATAAATTTATTTGGGCAGGGAAAAACCAAGGGTTAAGTTCAAAATTATGCAAGACTTCCGTGAGAGGGGTGGACTCAAGGTACCAAATTTGAAATTATATTATGATGCGGTGGTTTTAACATTAATTAGTGACTGGGTAAATTTGACAAATTCTGAGATACTTTATCTAGAGGGATGGGATTTACTTTATGGGTGGCATGCCTATTTAATATTTAATAAAAAAATAGATTGGGCTTTTAAATCTCATATTTTAAGAATTTCTTTACTTAGGATTTGGAGAAAATATTATAAAAGTGATTTTAAAGTACCATTATGGGCTATACCTTGGCATGCGATAGAAGGAATAAAAAGAGGGGTTAAAATGGATATGGTGACTTACAGACAGTTACTTAAATGGGATGGACAAAACTGGCAATTAAAATCACGGGAAGAATTAGCACAAGAAAATTTTACTTATTCTTGGTTCCAATATAGGCAACTACTAGATAGATGGAAGATGGATTGTAAGGTGGGTTTTCTTAGAGAAGATGAAAATCTTATTAAGCAACTGAAGGATCAAAGACAAACCCACATTAAGAGAATTTATGGGGTTTTAGTTGAATTGGACTCAGAAACGGAACTAATTAAAGATTGTATGATTAGATGGGCGCAGAACTTTGGTGAGCCAGTTTCATTGGACACCTGGGAAACTATTTGGGTGAGAAATGTCAAATTTACTCAAGCACAGAATCTAAGGGAGAATTTTTATAAAATGTTTTATAGATGGCACCTTGATCCACAAAAAATGTCTTACATGTACCCTGACGTGCAACCTAAATGTTGGAGATGTGGTTATAAGGAGGCTTCCTATTATCATATTTGGTGGTCATGTAGAGAGATAAAAGCATTTTGGATCAAAATATGGTGGAATATCCAGAGAATTTTTAGAAGGAGGGTAAAATTTACTCCGCAATTATTTTTGTTAGGTATTGTTACAGATTGTGATACAAAGGAGGTTGTATTGATGTTAAACTTGATTACAGCCGCGAGGCTGTTAGTTGGACAATATTGGAAGAAGGAATCTTTGCCTACATTGCAGGAATGGTTTTTTAAAGTAGCTTATCTGGCAGAAATGGCAAAGATTTCGGCTTTCTTAAAGCAACAAACGCAAGAGAAGTTTTTTGCTATCTGGGACAAATGGATAAAATTTATACAATTTAGATTGGGTATACAAAAATATTATATAGCTTTTTCATAAGTTTTATTTTTATATATATTATAGATATCTTTTTTATATATATAAATATAAAGTTTTTAATTTAATTTTTATTTTTTTTTTTTATTTTTTTTATTATTTCTTAAGCCTATATTCTGCTCTGGGAAGCTCAGGGGGGGGGAAGGGAGGGTTTTTGGGAGGGGTGTGGGGTGGGGGGTTTTTTTTTATATGTATTGTTTAATTTTTTTTTTCTTTTGTATATGTTGTTTTTTGTTCTGTATTGTTTTTGGTTTTTTTGTAAAATTTATAAAACTTTTAATAAAAAAAAAAAAAAAAAAAAAAAAAAAATAATGGTAATCATGCAGTCCAAAAACTAGGCTTAAAATATTTAAAATCTGGGAATTTTAGGATTGTTGTCCATTCAAACGTATGCTTTACTAACCTTTTCTTAAATCCCATGCCAATGTCTTTTCATTGAAATTGCTTGGTTATTTTGTTTGTTATTTTAACCATATAATTATGGATATTGAAGCCTGCTCGCATTGAACTTAGTTTTTGCAACCTGATTAGCAAAATGAAAACACGGTCTGAAATGTCAGAATAAAAAACAGGGTATTGGTTCATATTATTGTTTGTTCAGTTTGTTGGTAGCTCTCTAGGATTTTTGGGAAGTATCTTTTCCACAATTACTAGTGGTTTCTTGGATGGAAAAATACTGGAAATTGAACATGCAAAAGTCATATTTCAAGGCTATTCTAATGAAGTAGCATACATGTCTGTAATGGTATATTTTTATTTATTTAAGAAAATCTATATGGCCATCCAACTCAACTCTCAGTGACTCTGGGTGGCTTACAAAGATAGCAATAACAGTGTAATTATAAGACACAATAGAAAAAAAAGCACTCACCAAGAGTGGGGTCATACTCCCATATGAATCGTTTGGTCAGAAAACGTACAACGAGAGCTATAGGAAAGAAAAATATGATCTGGTGAGTTTATGACACATAATAGCCCACATGGTTTAAAGGAGTACAGTTAAAATAAATTCTCTTATTTCTCAAATCTGATAGCCACTTAATATATTGAAGTGGAACACATGGATGATTCAGGCTGTTAAAGTTCAAAAGACTAAGGAAAATTTATGTTAATGGACAGGTCTTTATGTTATGAACAGAGGGCAGATTTTTTTAAAAACACAATTTGTAAATCTACCCTTTAATGAACCAAAGAAGATAGAATAGACTGCCATAAACACTCAAATTTGTACTTTTAGAATTTGTTTTGAATGATTTCCATGCTAAACTAAGCATATGACAAATATGCTTTGGATCTGCTATCACATACGCTGCAGTTTCAGTGACGTTTTGCAAAAAATTCAAACTATGAGCATGTTCTGGATTACAGATTCGACAGCTGATCTCTTTGAATTTTACAAACAACATTTTAAATCAACAGAAACCATAATTGGTTCTGTAAAATGTAATTTAGAGAGAATATAAATTAAATTAAAAGAATAAAAATTCAAAACCATGTAAGGAAATTCATAGCAGTTAATTGGGTTATTTTTTTCTCCCATAACACAGTCTCACAGTTTATTTCGTTGGTAGACATATCCCAGATTTCTCAGGACAATATATACTCTTTTCCCCCATTTTCTCCTGACAACAGAGAAAATTGACTTAAATCTTTACTGACAGTGATTCAACACTTGGCAAATTTGATTTGTTAAAAAAAAAAGAGAAATGAAAACATATCATAGCTCTCAGCTTTTAGCAGCATCAAAGAAAGAACCAATAAACTCTAATAAGAATGTTTTTTCACGCATTATGATTTGTTCATCCATCATCAGCAGGATATGCAAAATCTTGTTAAGAACATTTTAGTTGAATGAATCATTAACTCTCAAAGAGTTCAAGTAAACACTCTTAATATTAGACCCCAAGTTCACTCAAACCTTCTGTAGCTTCCAGAGCTGTAAATCTGTCTCTATAAAGCTTGAAGATACAATTAACAAAGATAAAAAATAAATTCAGGATCTGAGTTTTTTCTTAAGATGATATATGGAATATCCGTCTAAAAACATTGTGCAAACCAGCTACAAATTGCTTGTTAGATTTTCTTCTTGTGCTGCCCCTTGTGCTTTTCAAATTTTGATGGAGATCTATCAGTCCTAGTTCATAATCAAACAATCCTGTAGGACAACAGGGGGTATCCCTGATTACAGATAGTCCTTACCTTACAACCATTCATTTAGTGAACATTCAAAGTTACAACAGCAGTGAAAAAAGTGATTTATGACCATTGTTCACACTTATGGCTGTTACAGCATCCCCATGGTCATCTGATCAAAATTCAGTTGCTGGGCAACTGGCACATATTTATGATCTCTTTTAAAATAGTGCATTCATAAGCAGCATCCTGGGGTCAAGTGATCACCTTTTGCAACCTTCTGACAAACAAAGTCAATGGAGAAAGCCAAATTCACTTAACCATGTTACTAACTTAACAACTGCAGTGATTCACTTAATCATTGTGGTGAGAAAGGTCATAAAATAGAGCAAAACTCAACACCAGTCTTGCTTAGCAACCAAAATTTCAGACTCAGTTGTGGTCGTAAGTCGAGGACTATCGATATATGAAAATCACCCTTCTCTAATATTACTTTCTAGATGTGTCTAATTACAACTGCCATCATCCACAATAAGGACATTTTCTCTTCCACCTGTGCAACACATCTGAAAAGCAATACATTAAGACAACTAATTCAAAGGTTCCATATACAGTGTAAGAGCAACGTTTTTCAAAAGGTAAATAATAAAAAAGGTGAAGATAACTAATTATTAGAAACTCTGCACTTTGCTTGGACGTTTCACCTGTTGTGCCTGTTTAGTAATATTTATTTATGTGGATAATCAAGTCAGCAATTGCTTCCTGAGGATGGTTTACCAATGAACCTCTGAACAACCTGCGGCCTGAAATAGCTCTATCTCTATACAGTAAACATCTTTTACAGTAGGTTGCAATTTTAGGGCAATTTGTTGATTCATGAAATGTTAAATTACAGTTCATGAATCAACCTCCTCCAAATATATTTTCTCTAGTGAAGAAATCCCTTTCCCCTCTGATAGAGAAATGAGATTGCAGCACATTTTAAGATTTCTGATAGAAGTCAAAAGATCCAGCTGATGAAAGCAGTTCTGACGAAGAGCTAATTTTGTCTAGTGGTTAATGCAGTAGGCTAGAAAGTGGGAGATCATGAGTTCAAGTCCTGCCTTAGCCATGAAAGCCAGCTGGGTGACTTTTGGCTAATCACTTTCTCTCAGCCCCAACCCACCTCAAAGGGGTTGTTGTTGTGGGAAAAATAGGAGGGGAATATGTGTTGGATATGTTCGTCGTCTTGAATTATTTGTAAAAATAATAAAGGTGCGATATAAAGAAAGAAAACAAAGAAACTTCTGTAAGGTGTGTGGGATTCATTATTATTATTATTATTATTATTATTATTATTATTATTCATACATTCCCATGTTTAAAATTATTTCTATGTCCCCTGAAAAAGGGATTCTTCTTTCTAGGGCAGTGATGGTGAACCTTTTAGAGACCGAGTGCCCAAACTGCAACCCAAAACCCACTTATGTATCATCGGGTGCTGGGTGGGCGTGGCCCATTGGGTGGGCGTGACCCATTGGGTGGATGTGGCTGCGGTGGTAATGACAGACTGGATGGGACTAAAAAGTTCAATCAATCAATTCCAACTTTGCGAGATTTTTTTTCCTGCAAGAAGTTGAAATTGATTGACTGAGTGAACTTAATTTTTTTTTTTTTGCACACAGCGGCGGAGGCCTAAAGCAAAAAGGTTTTATAAAACCCAGCTGAAGGCCTAGAACTGGGATGAAGGCGTGCGTGCCCACAGAGAGGGCTCTGAGTGCCGCCTCTGGCACGCGTGCCATAGGTTCGCCACCACGGTTCTAGGGGATTTGACTTCCCTGAATTGACACAATCAATTATATTTGATCAGTTCCCCATTTCTGTTTTTTGATTTGGAAAAACCTTGAATGTGTATGCATGTGTATTCTGTTTCTAAAAGTAGACACATATAAATATTTGGATCTGTTTTACCTAGCTCTGAAGCCTTCAATCCATAACTCAATACAACTGTCAACATCGCATGCTTGGCTGAAATTACCCATGGTTTCTTACTGAAATGGAACAAGAATCTATTTCAGAAATACAATCAAATCAAAATTCAAAATGACAAGTGGATTTTTCATGGTCTGGATGACAAAATGGCTCCATTACTTTCTTTTGTGGCTTTGACATTTGAACCTAAATCATCCAGTGGTCGAATTTGTGTCAGCATGTGTGCTTAGTGGTAGTAAAAAATTATAATGGGGGGGGGCTCAGTTCCTGAGATACATTTTTTACAAAGACCTATGGAACTGAGTCTGATGGAACAGGGTTGGATTGTGTTCGTTTATTCAAATGTTAATGGGAGCAGAAGCTTCCTCATAGCTGAAAGCGTATTTTTGGGTTGGATGCATCTTCCCTACTCAACCAATTGTTTCCTTCCTGATCTGCTGGAAGGTAGGAGGGGATCATTTGGTACCTACTTTCCATCTCTATTCTGCTGCCCTGATGTACAGTACATCAAAGGTTAAAGCTGTAGGCCAGTCAGTCCTAAATATCATTTCTAGTGGCTCTTGATATTTGTATGCCCTTTTGATATATCGAGATAAAGTCCTCTACCTGTTTTTTATCTCTAAGGATCTCTCTCTCTCTCCCTCCCTCCCTCTCCCCTTTTAGCTGCCTTTGATCCTATTCTGTAGTTATGAAGGAAGAGGAGGAGGAGGAGGCAGGAGCTCCTATTGATGGAAATCTTTGCATTATTCCATACTTCCAGAAAAATGCTGAAAAATATACTCTTTTTTTATTATAAATTTTTACAATTTTACAATAAAAACCCCTTTCCCAATCCCTCCCAGCCCTCCCCAAAACCCTCCCCCATTCTTCCCAGAGCTGAATACAGAGTTAACTAGAACTTAAAAGAAAAAACTTATAAACTCAAATAAACCTCAAACAAATATAATTACATTCGAAAAACAAATTGTTAAATACATTAACTCCATTATATATAAAAAAACAGAAAGAGAAAAAGAAGAAAAGAAAATAAAAAAAATAATAAAAAAAAGAAAAAAAACTAAATTATTCTATACTTCTAAATAATATCTTAAACTTTAAATATAAATTATTCAAAAGCTAAATAATATTTTCTGATATCATACCTATATTGTATAAAATTTATCCATCTTTTCCACACCAAGAGATACTTCTCTTGTGATTGATCTTTCAAAAAAGCCGAAATTTTTGCCATTTCAGATAAGTAAGAGACTTTAAGAAACCATTCCTGCAAACTAGGCAAAAATTCCTTCTTCCAATATTGTCCTATTAACAACCTTGAATAGCATAATCTAAATATCTTTTAGAGTTTCTCCCTTGAAATCAAGTGAAGTTTTAATCATAGTACTAACACAACTTAATAACATTTACCATTCAACTGTAAATTGGACGCGCCATTTACCTGGCTATAATCTACAAACAGTGGCACTGAGAATAAAGCTTTGGTTTCTTTGTATATCTGAAAAATATACTCTTGAAAAGCAGGACAGAACTGTAGATAGATCCACCCTCTCATGCTATGAGAATAATTTAGAAAGTGACTGCGAACTTGGAGAGTTTTGCACCCTTTATAGTTCCTGCTATGGCTCCCAATTAAAAAAAGAACATAATATGAAAGATTATCTCTTCTTTAGGACTCACTGGTATCCAATCCAAGGGATGGATGAGTGGCAAACAGCTGCTTAGTTGTGTCAGTATTATAGCAGGTGGTGCTCTCATTCTGTTCACTGACTCCGATCGGAATGATACTGAATTGAAACATGAAGCGAATTACTTGTTTCAGCTTAA